AAAAGTGTGTACTTTTGACACTGCTGACAGAGACCAATAGGTTTTTATTAAAATTTTATTCTAACACAAAAACATCATAGTGTTATCCGCTTTACCAAGGTTCCTACAGCCTCTAGAAGTTAAACAGGCCCACAGCATCACCGGTCCTCTCCTGTTCTTAACATAGGACATGAGGGGCTTTTTCCCTATGTCCCTCCTATTACTGCTCTACTTCCTGTAGTTTCTATAGCCAGTGAAGATGTATAGATTGGTATTGGTTGACTTTGCTTGTAATTTAAGAACAATCAGAAGGAGCCATTCTGCTCAGTTTAAGTAAACGTGGGTCCTCATCCAGCCTGGTTAGGTACAAATCCAGCTTCCTGTATTTAACATTAATGAGACAGTTGGTCAGGGCATATTTTTACCCCAGGGAAACAGGAAGTTATTATTAAATGTTCATGATATCAATATGACTTACAAAAAAGTTTAGTTTTATAAGTTAAGAATATACATGGGTGTTTTTGTTAAAAAGAAAATATATGATCCTGCAGCAATGAACGTTGAATCAATTCTAAGAGTTTTTATACAAAAGTCCCTATAAATGTAGAGAATACAGCAAATATGAAAACTTTTACATGTTTGCTGGAGCCGTGGCTGGTTAAAGCGCAGGAAGGTGGTTTATAATATCCGCTTCTGTTTTTCTTCTTTTTCTTTTCCCCAGGGATCATTATGTTGAAGCAAAGATGAGGGGTTTAGCACCAAGCAAAAAGATTGCTGCCATGCAGCAAAAAAATGTTGATCTGTAAGTATAATCTGGTTTTTATTTCAAGTTTACGTGTGATGGTGCATGACTGCAATCATCCCAGATATGGAAATCCTGTGACCTTTGACGAAATCTGACTAAAACAAACCTGAGTAAGCTGAATAATCTCTGTACACAATCCTCAGCACAGCTGGGTTTCCCTAGATTTAATATGTTGCCATATTCCTTTATCGAAAAAGCCTCGTCACATGTAATTAAAGCTGTACATAAATCACTATCGTTTATTTATTCATTTATTTTGTTCTTTTTAATTCAAACACTAAACAACAGACAAAAACAGAACAGAAAGAAGGAAAAATAACTTATAGTACCCATTTGTGATATAAAAAAAATTCCCAAAGAATGTGTGAATGTTTTGTTAGATGTTACTTTTCAGATGCATCCATTAACAGTCAGGATGTCTGTACACATGCAGACTGATGGACTCTCTGTGCTGTCATTGACCCCACCTGCTGTAGATCAGAGTGGATGAGATGCTTTAGGTCAAACAGGGCGAAGGGAAAAATCAAAATGCCGGAATAGAAAAGACAGAGTGAGGCAAATGTGTGTTAATCACACACTGTGTCATTATATTAATATTCAACTGTAAAACTAAAAAAATACTAAAGATGCACATTTTCACAACATTGTTTGTTGCATAATTATCTGATAAAATGTTTCTTTAATAACATAAATATTCAATTTCATATGTAATAGGACCCACTAATCAGTAAAAATGATAAAAAGCATGGAAGAGGGCGGGCTTAGGGTATCTGATTTGCATCGGAGTAAATATCTGTCGCCGTTAATAGCAGACCTACCAAAAACTGCAATGTTCAGAAATGACTATTAGCAATCACTCCTAAAAATATATATTTAGGCTTCCTTTTTTTTCTAATACATTTTTACTGAACTTTAAAAATGCAGTATAGAATAGAGAAGAAATACCTTTAATGTCCCTCAGAAGGGGGGATTCAGGTGGCAAAAATAAGTAGATACACAGAGGACTAAATAATATGAAAAAGGAAAGCATGAGAGAAACACTAGGAAAGGAAAAATGCTCTGTGGTTTGTAAAAAAAAGAAGAAAACAACCACAGATATTAAAAGAACTCTGCTAAAAGCAGGATTAAAGAAGCACAACATTTATTTGTTTTAACTGTAGCTTAGGTAATGCAGCTTTTTCAAGCTTTTCCAAGACTGTTTTTATTGATTCTTTTTTTCCATTCTAGGAAGGTTAAGAAGGCAAAGCAGAAAAGTGAGTAACATATGTTTGTGGATCCTTTGTTGCTGTTTTAAATGTGAATTATTTGCAATATTCAAAGCTACAGTATATATCCTTGTCAAATGTAATTATTTTTGGATAAATGGATAAACTTATGAGGCTTTTAGGTAAAATTCCCCAGAATTTATATACCGGTACATTTTATATTTACTTTATGTTTAAGAAGCAGTTTAAAGTTTTAATAATAATCATACAAATTGAGCTTTATTGATCTCACATTAGAGAAATTTACCGCTGCATTTAACGCATCTCCTTTGGGAGCAGTGGGCTGCCATTGTGTGGCGCCCGTGGATCAGTGTGGGGTAAGGGGTCTTGCTCAGGAATCCAGAGTGGAGGCTGTGGGGATTGAACCATGTACCGTGCAACCTTTTCAGAGCACAGGCGCACTGCTCTAACCACTAGGCCAGGCATCCCCAACCTCGGTCCTTGAGGCCCGCTGTCCTACAGGTTTTAGAGGTTTCCTTGCTCCAGCACAGCTAATTTTAATTGAAAGCTGATTAACAGGGTTTTGGTCTTCTGCAATTATTATAATCAGCTGTGCTAAAGCAGGGAAACCTCTATAACCTGCAGGACAGCGGGCCACAAGGACCGAGGTTGGGGATGCCTGCACTAGGCCATAACTCTCCAAAGCTTTTAGCACCTGGTATTCCCAGGCAGTCTCACATCCAAGTACTAACCAGGCCCGACCTTGCTTAGCTTCCAAGATTAGACAAGATTGTGAGAATTTTTATACATTCCAAAGATGACAGAATCTGGATTTTAACTTTGTCTAAAAACTCTTCATGTTGGGGTTTTGTTGTCCAGTTCCCGGGTCGGGTGAAGGAACCAGCAGTGGAGAAACAACCCAGGCGCCACGGAAGAAACGAGCTCGGGTCGATCCCACTGTGGAGTGTGTACGTATCACCCCCTGATTGGAAATCATCTTTGTGGATTTTTACTGCATATCATGTAATTTCCTTGGAATGTAAAGCTTTGGGAAAAGCACTACAGATATTGTCCTTCCTGTGTCGCTGGACTTCTGAAAAAAGAAAACTGTTTTTTTTTTTTCAAACCCTTTGTCAGAGGAAGGTAGAGTTTCTAAAATTGTTCCTGAGTAAAAGTAGAATATAGTCCTCCACGAAGTTACTCAAGTCAGAATAAAAAAGTATTTAGTAAAATAGCTACTTAAGCAATAATTGTTGGTTTGTAACATCTCAGTAACATGTAACAATTGAATTTAGCCAGACAGATAGTAATGTGAAATCTGGTATTTCAAATAAGTAGAAAAATAATAATTAATAGCATAATTACAAATTTGGGGAGAAAATAAAGTTTTCTAAAAAATATCCACTTAAAACTAATAAAACTAATCTGTACAATTGGTAATGCATACATGTTACATGTCAAGCGACAATATCTATCTATATAACTTATCTGCTATAGCTCAAATTACTCTTTGTGGGTAAAATAACATGAGATTTTACTTGAGTAAAAGAATATTACTCGAGTAAAAGTCAAACTAAAAGTATATTATTTTCAAAAAGTTACTTAAGTACAGTAAGTAGTTACTACCCACCTCTGGTCCCACTTAAAATCACCTCCTCCTTCCTAAGTCGGCAGAGTCTCCGTTAATGCTGATATTTTAGCAGAATTGTCCTTCTTCTTCTACCCCCTTGTAGAGAGACGTTGCCTTTATGCTGCTCATTGGTAGGTTATTGAGGTTTGTGGACATTTATCTGTCTACCAAAGCATTTCAGTTAGCATAAGCTCTGATTGGGCTAATTTTAGTGTTTTTAATTCATTTTCTACATAATTTCTGTTGCGAATTTGATGCAGAGTTTGACATATAACTTCACATTTCCCTGTAGTTTACTTACAGGCTTCATGACTCTAACTGCTCTCTGCCAATTCAATTCAAATTTCAATTCAGTTTATTTATATAGCGCCAATTCACCACTTGTCATCTCAAGGCACTTTACAGATCATACAGTCAAATTGATTCAAAGTTTTCTATCTAAAGAAAACCATTTGATTGCATCGACTCATTGACTTGAAGGCAATTCTTCACACTAAGCATGCTTGTAGCGCAGCGGAGAGAGGAAAAGCTTCCTTTTAACAGGAAGAAACCTCCAGCAGAACCAGGCTCATTGTGAGCGGCCATCTGCTGAGGCCGACTGGGGTTCAATTAGACAGAAGCAGAGACTCAAAAAGCAGGAAACAGCCAGGCAGACAAGCTCTGAGCAAACTCCCATGTCAGAGGATGAAGAGAGCACATCCAGCCAGTCACAGTCAGAGAAACAGGACTACACTGGAAAAACAGGCAGATCTCGAACATCTATAAGCACAGGTGTTGATGGAAGCAGCACAGATGAT